CTACACGACTCTATGGGAGACGGGAAAATTGTCCCACAATCTGGAAAGTTTTTTGCTTCTGCTACAGAGCGCACGCAGAACTGGAATGGAATTCAGCGGGAGATCACTGGAAGAGTGCAGCGAAAACTTGCTTATGAGGTCATTGCTGTTGTTCGCATATTCAGTAACAATGTCACTACTTCGGATGTGCGTGCTACTCTATGGGTCCAGACACCAAATCAACGTGAACAGTACATTGGCATTGCCAAGTTAGTTTTATTCTCTTCTCTTTTGTTCATATGTACATTGTGTGATTGTTCTAGTCAACACTTTAGTCCCTTAATATCATCATATAAATGCCTTAATGAAAGCTTGGTTTGGTTTAATAGTGTGCAGGCAACAGACAAGGATTGGACACAGCTGCAAGGAAAGTTCCTTCTAAATGGTTCCCCATCTAGAGTTGTCGTTTATCTCGAAGGCCCTCCATCAGGAAGTGATATTCTGATCAACAGTTTGATTGTTAAGCACGCAGAGAAAATCCCTCCTTCACCTGCACCAGTAATTGAGGTTGGTTGAATAAGTCATTTCGAATCGATTTTCATCCACTCTTGAAGTTTAGCTAATTGTGAATTTTCATTTTTTCCCACTCTTTTCAGAATCCTGCCTTTGGAGTTAATATAATTGAGAACAGCAATCTAAGTAACGGCACCAATGGGTGGTTTGTCCTTGGTAATTGCACATTGAGTGTTGGGACTGGTTCACCACATATACTTCCTCCCGTGGCTAGAGACTCCCTTGGGCCTCATGAGCCTCTAAGCGGGCGTTTCACCCTCGTGAAAAACCGCACTCAAACCTGGATGGGTCCTGCCCAGATGATCACTGACAAAATCAAACTCTTCTTGACATACCAAGTGTCTGCTTGGGTTCGGATTGGTTCTGGTGCAACTGGTCCGCAAAACGTGAATGTTGCACTTAGTGTGGACAATCAATGGGTCAATGGTGGACAAGTCGAGATCAGCGATGATAGATGGCATGAAATTGGTGGGTCCTTTAGAATTGAGAAGCAGCCGTCAAAGGTCATGGTTTATGTCCAAGGTCCTGCTGCTGGTGTTGACTTAATGCTCGCTGGACTTCAAATTTTCCCCGTTGACAGAGAAGCAAGATTTAGGTATTTGAAGAGGCAAACTGATAAGGTATTTTTAACTCCGATTTCTGTAGTTTTTAGTCAGCTAATGAGTTTAGAACTTGGAATACAAAGCGCTAGTAAAGATGCTTGGTTGCTTGCAATTCCACTGTTTTGTTGTTGATGTTGTTTCCCTTTTTACTATAGAAATGTCGTGTCTTCCGTTTGTATATATGCCCGTAATACTATAGCCATTAGTTTGTGTTACCTTTACTCGAATCTCTTATTTGTTTGTTCTCTCATTTTCTTCATTGCAGATTCGTAAGCGCGATGTCACCCTCAAATTCTCCGGGGCGGACTCGAGCAATTTGCATGGCGCATTCGTGAAGGTCAAACAAGCGAAAAACAGTTTCCCTTTCGGAACATGCATAAGTAGGACAAACATCGACAATGAGGACTTTGTTGACTTCTTTTCGAAGAACTTCAATTGGGCTGTGTTTGGAAACGAACTGAAGTGGTACTGGACAGAGCCGCAACAAGGGAACCTCAACTACAGGGACGCCGACGAGATGTTGGACTTGTGTCAAAAACACAACATAGAAACCAGAGGCCACTGCATCTTCTGGGAAGTGGAAGACACAGTCCAGCAATGGATTCGTTCTTTGAACAAAAACGACTTAGCAACAGCGGTTCAAAACCGCCTCACAAGTCTTCTCAAACGCTACACGGGAAAGTTCAAACACTATGATGTCAACAATGAGATGCTTCATGGCTCATTTTATCAAGACAGATTGGGAAAAGACATCAGAGCCAACATGTTCAAACTTGCAAACCAACTAGACTCCTCTCCTCTCTTATTCGTGAACGACTATCACGTCGAAGATGGCTGCGACACTCGATCATGTCCGGAGAAGTACATTCAGCAGATTCTTGATCTGCAAGAGCAAGGTGCGCCTGTGGGAGGGATAGGAGTTCAAGGACACATAGATAATCCAGTTGGGCCAATTGTGTGTTCTGCTCTTGACAAGCTTGGAATCCTTGGACTTCCAATATGGTTTACTGAGCTTGACGTGTCTTCCATTAATGAACATGTTAGAGCTGATGATCTCGAGGTCATGCTTCGCGAGGCTTTCGCTCACCCCGCGGTGGATGGCGTGATGTTGTGGGGATTCTGGGAATTGTTCATGAGTAGGGAAAATTCTCACTTGGTGGATGCTGAAGGTGAGGTGAATGAAGCAGGGAAAAGGTACCTTGAGCTCAAGAAAGAGTGGCTTTCTCATGCTCGTGGGCATGTTAGTGAGGATGGTGAGTTCAATTTTAGGGGCTTCTACGGGACTTATGCTGTGGAAATTGTTACTCCCACTCACACCAAGAAGGTTGTGAAGACGTTTGTTGTTGACAAGGGTGACTCGCCTCTGGTTGTGTCCATTGATTTATAAAGTCTCTGCTGCTCAATATAGTAAAGAAAAATACGTCCTAACCCCCTTAATACCACTAGTGCCTTATAAACATTATTCTTCTATGATAAAAGGTGAAATTATTGTTTTATGGCTTGCATTAGTGAAAAATGGGAAAATAAAAATGATCTGTATTCTTGGTTAAAGTGATCTGTATTCTTGTCATGGTTTTATACGGAAATTGAAAAATAAAAATGAAGATAAAAAATGCATATAAAAGAAGCTAAATATGACTTGAAATTTTCTGGCAAAGGAATAAAATACAGTCTTTGTGGTCGAACAATCGCGCTTTTTTTTTTTTCAGTCGTTTTCGTATTAAGGAAAAAAAAAAAAAAAAAAAGAAGAAATCGTCAATATATTAGGCAATTGTATGGACTATGTTAAAATAGGGCCCAAGATTGATGAAACGCCGTCCTCAGTGTGACTCTTGTTTAGAAGAGTCTGTAGAGCTTGGATGTGTTACCTTGACAAAGTCACATCAAAGGCTATTTGGGCCAACTTTAGGCTGAATTGGAGCCCATGAGCCCGTTATGCAAAAATCTCGATAATGAAGGCACGGACCCTGAAGCATACAAAAAGAAGAGAAGAAGTATCTTCATAAACACTAAAAGACAAAAAAATAACGAGAAACAAGAAAAAGAAAAGAAAAAATCTAAAAATAACGAGAAACAAGAAAAAGAAGAGAAAAAATCTTTGGTAAGGAACTCATTTAGCTTAGGAGTCAATTCCCCTAGCTCTTATACACTGCAGGGAATGATGCATATAGATAGATCAACATCAAATGGAACCAGAGAAAACATTACTAAATAAAACGGAGCATAAATGTTACACAAACAATCATTTTTATTTGACTAGGCAGTCTTTAAAATAATCCACAAATGGGCCCAAACCCAATAAGCCTTTAGCAGATCCATGGCCCACTGCCGATCACATCAAATTGATAGACTTCCACCATTTACTACTACTAATACTACGACTAGTTGTCCTATGATGATAATAGGACCGAAAAACAGTCCCATCCCGGTCTGTAAAAACCTGGTTCATTTCGTCCCCACTTCCCACATGGGTGTATAGTAAGCCTTGCCTGACCCCAGGCGCACCTTAACTCTTTTCCCCTCAATTATCACTAGATCATAACTTAAAAAATGCTAATCATCAACCTTTATTTGATTTTTGCATACATAATTCTTGTGTTTAATTCTAAAAGGTCAACTTATTAGTGAATAATCTAAACACTTATGGGTAGTTTGGTATTATGATTTTTATCATAATTCGTGATTCATTATAATATTTTCTCTCATAAAAAATACATGTAAACTGATAATGATTCTAAATTCATAAACCAAACGTCTATTTATTCTCTATTTTTATATCTACCCATGTAAGATTTTGATGTGTTATCCGAAAACACTTTCACATACTAGTCATAATGCATAGTTATACAAATTGTTAGGGGAAAAAAAGAGAGGAAAGAAGAAATAAAGACAAAAAGGGAGAAAAAAGAAAAACACATGGAGAAAAAAATTAAAAAAACAAGAAGATGTATAGGATAAAAAAAACACTAAAAAGCACAAAAAGACAAAAGAAAATGTAACGAAATGATGAAACACCAATTACGGACGCAACTCCATTAAAACATTCTCGAAACAAACTGTTGGAAGAAAGGCAAGAAGTAGAAAGAAAACGGAACAAATAAAAAATTGAACTCTTTTATTAAGGATTACAGTTATAAAGTGTTTATGTAAAGACATATTTTAGAAGAAATTATTTCAACAGGTAATAAAGAAAAAAATAATATTTTAAATAATTATGAAAAAAGTATTAAATTAGGATATATACGAAAATCTTATAAAAATGGAAGGTCAAGAGGAAAAAAAAAAGAAAAGGAAAAGGGAAACGGAACGTTTTGCAAAATGTTTCAATCTCCCGAAAAAACCAATTCTTTTTTTTTTTGTTGCTGAAAAAACCAATTCAACTTTATTATGCAGGTATAATCCATACAAATTTATACGATGTGAATTCTAAAACAGCACATTAAAAAATAAGGTGCACTTGTACATTAAAGAAAAAAGCTCTTTGTATGAAGTTTTTGAAGAATTTAAATTACAACTCAAATTTTTTTATTATAATATTTTTTTCTTATAAAAATTTAAATTTTAAAAATTACAGTATTATTTCTTATATAAAAAATTTTAATTGTGATTTAAGTTACTAAAAAACAGCAAAAAAAAAGTTTAAGAGCTTAACTTATTTAGTTTGTTGATTTAAATTTTTAATTTGAATTAAAATGTGATTTTATGTAAGAATTTTTTATTATAATAAAAAATTAAACGTGCGTTTAGAAAAGAAATTCGTGTCATAGTTAGAATTATAATTTGTGACTCGTTACAGTATTTTCTCTCATAAAAAATATACATAAAATAAAAATAATTCTGAATATATAAACTAAATGTTTACTAAATGTAATTATTTTTTTAAAAATATTTACTATAATAAAATTCAAATTGAACCTACATTATTGTAAAAAGCACAGTACACTGAACTGGGCTCAACTTTTAAGCGGAAAAAAAAAAAAAGGAACTGGGCTTAACTCCATTAGTTCTTCAAAAAGAGAGAGAGACATGGGTGTCAAATCCGGAAGAGTTTACGTCTGATATGATGGGGGGTGTTGGGTAAATGTAGGGCCAAGGACATTTCAGAAAGTGAAAGAAAAAGGAGAAAAATTAAGGTCTCGTTTATTTTACTGATTTAAGTTTAAAATTTAAGTTTATAATAGTAAAAAAATTTTAAAAATAATTATATTTAATTTTTTTATTATATTAAAAAACTCTCATATAAAATTATATCTTAATTCAAATTAAAAATTTAAATTAACAAACTGAATGAGCCTAAGAAAAATAATAATAATAATAAAAAAAAAGGAGAGAATCGTATCATGAGAGAGAGGAAGAGAAGCGGGCTGTGGGGACTGGCAAGAGAGTTATGGTGTCTGGTGCATTGGGAAACAGCTCCCGCGCTGTTTTCGCGCGCCCCAAACGACACACACAGACTTCGCTCAGTTGTGGGACCCATCCCCACCAGCCAGGGACTCATGCCCCACTTCCCTGCCTCTCATTAATACGACACTGCCTTCCAAGTTCCACTCATCACTCTTTAATTCCACTCTTTTATTTTATTTAATAATAGAAATAGATAGATAGGTAGATATAAAATATATTATATATTATAAAGTGTGCTCCTTCATTCATTCGGTCATTCCTCTACTTTTTCTTCTTTTTGCTATTTTGTTAGTTACCCTTTTCTGTTCAGGTCAGTAGTCGGTGGAGTTTATTCATTTTAATAGCTTCAATAACTACCACTCCCAGGGTCGCTTGCTGTCTGCTCTTTCATGGAAAACGGACTAATTAGGGATTTTCCTTTTGGCTGCATTTACGAACTCTTAAATCATATATACTGTCTAATAAGTACTTATATTATAGTATTTTCCAAAGTGTGATATTTCCCAGCTGTCTCATAGACCAATAGAGGAAGCCGTTTGAAATCAATATGGGGTTTGTACATTATTTTTTAACAAATTATTTATACGCAGTTAATAGTACATGGTTGTGTATATTAAACTCTCGTTTATTTTGCTCATTTGAGTTTAGAATTTGAGTTTTACTACAGTAAAAAGTTATCAGAAACAGTCACATCTAACTTTTTTACTACAGTAAAAAGTTCTCACACAACATCACATCTCAACTCGAATTAGCGAACCAAACGGGCCTCATCTATTTGAGTTTAAAATTTGAGTTTTATTACAGTAAAAAGCTCTTATAAATAGTCACATCTAACTTTTTTACTACAGTAAAAAGCTCTCACATAAAATCACATATCAACTCAATCATCAAACTAAACGGATCCTAATTATATACAAAAATGGATATTTTTTTTAATGAATGAAAAATGAACTATCAGTAATTTTTTTATTTTTTAGCCGTTAAATATGTATTGAAAACGGTATGTTTCGCAACTTTTTTTGTATGAGATTTTATATACATTTTTAATCTAATATGATTTTGATCAGATCTAATGATCGAAAACTAGCTCTAATGGTTGGCCCATGGGAGAAGGTCTCATGCACAAAAGGGAATATTACCAAAATCCCTAATGAAAAATTAAAAAAAAAATTGTTTTTTGATAATTAAATATATATATATATAATTTTGCTAATTATTAGTCGTTTGTTACTAAAATATAACTTTGTAAAAGATAAAATCAAAATAAACAAGGCTTTTATCAACGGATTATCAAATAAATGTTTGCAATTTCTTTTTTATTTTTTATTTTAAATTTGTTGTCTCTCGTGACATGTCTTTAGTAATGTTACATTTTCAAAATAATAGTGATGAATAGTCTCACCCAACACTAAAAACAAGATTCACTGTTATAAAACTGTGTAGGCAAGCAAGCTTGTGTAACTTCCAGATACAATAATTTGAAAGAGATTTCAAAGAAAGGAATCCGTACTGAATCTTCACGATATGCATACAAATTTTAATGACTGATGAATATGGAACAAAAAAGGTCATTGAATTCGTCTTCAAAAACTCTGCTTAATTATTTAACGTACTCGTCTTCATTTTCTTAAATGCGTCACATTACCATTAAAGTTGTTTAGTATCGTATGCCAAAAGAGGAAAAAAAAAAAGATATCTGTCAGTCTTCATTTTATCAATCAATATTGCTTTATATTATAATCAAAATTGTTAATTTGCTATCATTATTTAGCATGCGTAACATTTATTTTTTCTAATCACGTGGGAGAATTTGAACTCTACGTCATGTTGGGGAGTTTGGAGTGGAAGTTTTGTTAGGCGCTATATGCAAATTCAACATGTTAATATTCTACTTTTTTTTTAAAGAAAATATTCTAGTTTTTTGTTTTTAAGAAAATATTCTAGTTAATTAGAAACAACTTGAACAAATTAACTAATCATGTCATTGGCCTTTTAACTTCTTATATTTTGTATGATACGTGATGGTGGACATATATAATATTTGTGTACGTATGCAAATCTGCATTTTATATATGTACGTAGATAAGAGAGAGAGAGAGAGAGAGAGAGAGAG